TTTCATCGACTGTGTCAGACTGTGGGATAGTGTCAGACTGTGTCAGACTGTGGGAGATAGTGTCACTGTTTCAGACTGTGTCAGACTGTGTCAGATTGTGTCAGACTGTTTCAGACTGTGTCAGACTGTGGGAGATTGTGTCAGACTGTGTCAGACTGTGTCAGACTGTGTCAGACTGTGTCAGACTGTGGGAGATAGTGTCAGATTGTGTCAGACTGTTTCAGATTGTGTCAGACTGTGGGAGATTGTGTCAGACTGTTTCAGATTGTGTCAGACTGTGGGAGATTGTGTCAGACTGTGTCAGACTGTGTCAGACTGTGTCAGACTGTTTCAGACTGTGTCAGACTGTGGAGATGGGAGATAGTGTCAGACTGTTTCAGATTGTGTCAGACTGTGGGAGATTGTGTCAGACTGTGTCAGACTGTGTCAGACTGTGTCAGACTGTTTCAGACTGTGTCAGACTGTTTCAGACTGTGTCAGACTGTGGGAGATTGTGTCAGACTGTGTCAGATTGTGTCAGACTGTGGGAGATTGTGTCAGACTGTGTCAGATTGTGTCAGACTGTGTCAGACTGTGTCAGATTGTGTCAGACTGTGTCAGATTGTGTCAGACTGTGGGAGATTGTGTCAGATTGTGTCAGATTGTGTCAGATTGTGTGAGATTGTGTCAGATTGTGTGAGATTGTGTCAGACTGTGGGAGATTGTGTCAGACTGTGTCAGATTGTGTCAGACTGTGGGAGATTGTGTCGGACTGTGTCAGATTGTGTCAGATTGTGTCAGACTGTGTCAGACTGTGGGAGATAGTGTCAGATTGTGTGAGATTGTGTCAGACTGTGTCAGACTGTGGGAGATAGTGTCAGATTGTGTCAGATTGTGTCAGACTGTGGGAGATTGTGTCAGATTGTGTCAGACTGTGGGAGATTGTGTCAGATTGTGTCAGACTGTGTCAGACTGTGGGAGATAGTGTCAGACTGTGTCAGATAGTGTCAGACTGTGTCAGATTGTGTCAGATTGTGTCAGATTGTGTCAGACTGTGTCAGATTGTGTCAGATTGTGTCAGACTGTGTCAGACTGTGTCAGATTGTGTCAGATTGTGTCAGACTGTGTCAGACTGTGTCAGACTGTGGGAGATAGTGTCAGACTGTGTCAGATTGTGTCAGACTGTGGGAGATTGTGTCAGATTGTGTCAGACTGTGTCAGACTGTGGGAGATAGTGTCAGACTGTGGGAGACTGTGTCAGATTGTGTCAGATTGTGTCAGACTGTGGGAGACTGTGTCAGACTGTGGGAGATTGTATCAGACTGTGGGAGATTGTGTCAGATAGTGTCAGACTGTGTCAGATTGTGTCAGACTGTGGGAGATTGTGTCAGATTGTGTCAGACTGTGTCAGACTGTGGGAGATAGTGTCAGACTGTGGGAGACTGTGTCAGATTGTGTCAGATTGTGTCAGACTGTGGGAGACTGTGTCAGACTGTGGGAGATTGTATCAGACTGTGGGAGATAGTGTCAGATTGTGTCAGATTGTGTCAGACTGTTTCAGACTGTTTCAGATTGTGTCAGACTGTGTCAGATTGTGGGAGATAGTGTCAGATTGTGTCAGACTGTGGGAGATTGTGTCAGACTGTGTCAGACTGTGGGAGATAGTGTCAGATTGTGTCAGACTGTTTCAGATTGTGTCAGACTGTGGGAGATAGTGTCAGATTGTGTCAGACTGTTTCAGATTGTGTCAGACTGTGGGAGATTGTGTCAGACTGTGGGAGATTGTGTCAGACTGTGGGAGATTGTGTCAGACTGTGTCAGACTGTGTCAGACTGTGGGAGATAGTGTCAGACTGTTTCAGACTGTGTCAGACTGTGGGAGATAGTGTCAGACTGTTTCAGACTGTGTCAGACTGTGGGAGATAGTGTCAGACTGTGTCAGACTGTGGGAGATAGTGTCAGACTGTTTCAGACTGTGTCAGACTGTGGGAGATAGTGTCAGACTGTGTCAGACTGTTGGAGATAGTGTCAGACTGTTTCAGACTGTGTCAGACTGTGTCAGATTGTGTCAGACTGTTTCAGACTGTGTCAGACTGTGGGAGATAGTGTCAGACTGTGTCAGACTGTGTCAGACTGTGTCAGACTGTGTCAGACTATGGGAGATAGTGTCAGACTGTGTCAGACTGTGTCAGACTATGGGAGATAGTGTCAGACTGTGTCAGACTGTGTCAGATTGTGTCAGACTGTTTCAGACTGTGTCAGACTGTGGGAGATTGTGTCAGATTGTGTCAGACTGTGTCAGACTGTGTCAGACTGTGGGAGATTGTGTCAGATTGTGTGAGATTGTGTCAGATTGTGTGAGATTGTGTCAGACTGTGGGAGATTGTGTCAGACTGTGTCAGACTGTGTCAGATTGTGTCAGATTGTGTCAGACTGTGGGAGACTGTGTCAGACTGTGGGAGATTGTATCAGACTGTGGGAGATTGTGTCAGATTGTGTCAGACTGTGTCAGACTGTGTCAGATTGTGTCAGATTGTGTCAGATTGTGTCAGACTGTTTCAGATTGTGTCAGATTGTGTCAGATTGTGTCAGACTGTGTCAGACTATGGGAGATTGTGTCAGACTGTGTCAGACTGTGTCAGACTGTCAGATTGTGTCAGACTGTTTCAGATTGTGTCAGATTGTGTCAGATTGTGTCAGACTGTGTCAGACTGTGTCAGACTGTGTCAGATTGTGTCAGATTGTGTCAGACTGTGTCAGACTGTGTCAGACTGTCAGATTGTGTCAGACTGTTTCAGATTGTGTGAGATTGTGTCAGATTGTGTCAGACTGTGGGAGATAGTGTCAGACTGTGTCAGACTGTGGGAGATAGTGTCAGACTGTGTCAGACTGTGGGAGATAGTGTCAGACTGTTTCAGACTGTGTCAGACTGTGTCAGATTGTGTCAGACTGTTTCAGACTGTGTCAGACTGTGGGAGATAGTGTCAGACTGTGTCAGACTGTGTCAGACTATGGGAGATAGTGTCAGACTGTGTCAGACTGTGTCAGACTATGGGAGATAGTGTCAGACTGTGTCAGACTGTGTCAGATTGTGTCAGACTGTTTCAGACTGTGTCAGACTGTGGGAGATTGTGTCAGATTGTGTCAGACTGTGTCAGACTGTGTCAGACTGTGGGAGATTGTGTCAGATTGTGTCAGACTGTGTCAGATTGTGTCAGACTGTTTCAGATTGTGTCAGATTGTGTCAGATTGTGTCAGACTGTGTCAGACTGTGTCAGACTGTGTCAGATTATGTCAGATTGTGTCAGATTGTGTAAAACTGTGTCAGACTGTGTCAGATTGTGTCAGACTGTGTCAGACTGTGTCAGACTGTGGGAGATAGTGTCAGACTGTGGGAGACTGTGTCAGACTGTGTCAGACGGTGTCAGATTGTGGGAGATAGTGTCAGACTGTGGGAGACTGTGTCCGACTGTGGGAGATTGTGTCAGATTGTGTCAGACTGTTTCAGATTGTGTCAGATTGTGTCAGACTGTTTCAGACTGTATCAGACTGTGGGAGATAGTGTCAGACTGTGTCAGAATGTGTCAGACGGTGTCAGATTGTGGGAGATAGTGTCAGACTGTGGGAGACTGTGTCCGACTGTGGGAGATTGTGTCAGATTGTGTCAGACTGTTTCAGATTGTGTCAGATTGTGTCAGATTGTGTCAGACTGTGTCAGACTGTGGGAGATAGTGTCAGACTGTGGGAGATAGTGTCAGACTGTGGGAGACTGTGTCAGACTGTGTCAGACGGTGTCAGATTGTGGGAGATAGTGTCAGACTGTGGGAGACTGTGTCCGACTGTGGGAGCTTGTGTCAGATTGTGTCAGACTGTTTCAGATTGTGTCAGATTGTGTCAGACTGTTTCAGACTGTATCAGACTGTGGGAGATAGTGTCAGACTGTGGGAGATAGTGTCAGACTGTGGGAGACTGTGTCAGACTGTGTCAGACGGTGTCAGATTGTGGGAGATAGTGTCAGACTGTGGGAGACTGTGTCCGACTGTGGGAGCTTGTGTCAGATTGTGTCAGACTGTTTCAGATTGTGTCAGACTGTATCAGACTGTGGGAGATAGTGTCAGACTGTGTCAGACTGTGTCAGACGGTGTCAGATTGTGGGAGATAGTGTCAGACTGTGGGAGACTGTGTCCGACTGTGGGAGATTGTGTCAGACTGTTTCAGATTGTGTCAGATTGTGTCAGATTGTGTCAGACTGTGTCAGACTGTGGGAGATAGTGTCAGACTGTGGGAGATAGTGTCAGACTGTGGGAGACTGTGTCAGACTGTGTCAGACGGTGTCAGATTGTGTCAGATTGTGTCAGACTGTTTCAGATTGTGTCAGATTGTGTCAGATTGTGTAAGACTGTCAGATTGTGTCAGATTGTGTAAGACTGTGGGAGACTGTGTCAGACGGTGTCAGACTGTGTCAGATTGTGGGAGATAGTGTCAGATTGTGTCAGACTGTGTCAGACTGTGTCAGACTGTGTCAGACTGTGTCAGACTGTGTCAGATTGTGTCAGACTGTGTCAGACTGTGTCAGATTGTGTCAGACTGTGTCAGACTGTGTCAGATTGTGTCAGACTGTGGGAGATTGTGTCAGACTGTGGGTGATTGTGTCAGACTGTGTCAGACTGTTTCAGATTGTTTTCAGACTGTGTCAGACTGTGTCAGATTGTGTCAGACTGTGGGAGATTGTGTCAGACTGTGGGTGATTGTGTCAGACTGTGTCAGACTGTTTCAGATTGTTTTCAGACTGTGTCAGACTGTGTCAGACTGTGTCAGACTGTGGAAGGTGAAGGAGATAGGGTCAGACTGTGTCAGACTGTGGAAGGTGAAGGAGATAGGGTCAGACTGTGTCAGACTGTGGGAGGTGAAGGGAGTGTTCCAGAGTCTGGGAGCAGCTCAAAGCCCCATGGTGACGAGGCGTGGAAATAACAATAAAAGCTTTTCATCATAAATACAGTATTTTTGCTTCCCCCCCTCTAGGACCCCCCTCCGGTCGATGCTAACGTCTCTGCGCTGAAGAAGGTTTCTGGTCCCGCCCTTCCTCCAGACCACACCTCCTTATCAACAGGCTCCTCCCCTTTAAGCCCCGCCTCCCCCATCAGCCCACAGGACGACTGGCAGGTGAGCGACCTCTAACCTCTGACCTCTCTCAGCTTCCTCCCGTCATCTTTCACCTGAACTACACAGGACGTCAATCAACTTATATTTAAATATAACATAGAGTATTTACTTTATGTTTATATTGTTTTACATTTTAAATATTGCTTCTAGATTACTAATCTTTCTATTATTTGAGAAGCATAACCAAAACATACCAGAACATTCAAATAAAAAATAAAATAACTACTTTACTGAAACACAGGGTTTAATAAATAATAAAGCTTTATTAATAATGTATGTTCAGTGAATCCTCAGGTCATTAGAAACCAGAGACACCTGGATCACCTGAGCCCCTTCACCTGCTCCACCTGAGCCCCTTCACCTGCTCCACCTGAGCCCCTTCACCTGCTCAGAAAACTTCATCATTTATGATGAAATATATAATTAATCAAACTCTCTTTTACTCACCTGGTTATTAATAATCAGACGACATTATTATAGCGTTGTTTTCATGGTTAGTGAAGGTCCTGGAAGCCCCATAAACACCCTGATGAGCCTTGTTATGGTTACAGAAGCAGGAAGTGTAGAACGTAAACAGGAAGTGTAGAACATAAACAGGAAGTCAGTGTAAACCTGATCACCTGTCCTCAGGTGCACACGGACTCCGATAGCGGGAAGCAGTTTTACTTCCACCCCCCCACCAGACGCACCACCTGGTCCTCACCCCACGGACCCCCGCCCCCCCCACAGGCCAGAGACATGGACCGGTCCGTTGCCCCCCCCCCTTTCTCCCCTCTCCCCCCCCCTCTCCCCCGCCTCCCCTCAGGTGAGTCACTATCTTTAAGTGTTTCTGATCAACAACTTTTTGGAACTATTTAATAACTTTATTTCATTTAATGTAATCGTTTATTTGAATAGGTACAATGCACATTAATGAATACTTAAGACAAAGAATGCTTCAAGTGTAAATATGCCGGATTTTAGCTTCGAGCTAACTTGTGGGAACGAGATAGCTGTAGCTGCAGGTGATGTAAAGAGTCTTTAACGTCAGAATCACTTCCTGTCAGGGCTCCTGGGACCAGCTGCTGGACCAAGCCTCGGGCAGATTCTACTACCACAACCCAGCCTCAGGGGCCACAACGTGGATCCCCCCGGAGCCTCAGGGCCCCCCAGAGGAACCCCCAGAGGAACCCCCAGAGGAACCCCCAGAGACCCCAGAGCCCCTCTCCCCCACCTCCCCCCCGGCTCACAGCAGGAGGCAGGACGGCGCCCCGGTATGACTCTGATGGATATCTGTTATGTGTCACCTGTATCTGTGGCAGTGAGCTGTCACATCATTTCATTTCATCTCAAACCTTTATTTAACCAGATGGTCCCATTGAGATCATTGATCTCTTTTTCAAGGGAGACCTGCAGCATATAGGTTCCACATGAAACATAAAACAATAAAGGACATCATACATTATATTTACAGGATACATTTACATAGTTATCAACATTTACAAGTGCCCATAGTATCAACGAGCATTTCATTTAGCCTAGCTTTAAAAACATGCAGAGGAATGAGATTGCTCAGTTTCAATTCTTGCTGTAGATTGTTCCAAGCAAGTGGAGCTGCACATAAGAGCTGTCTCACCTCAGACAGTCCTTGCTCTTGGCTCATCTAACAAGACTACATCATGCGATCTCAGACAATAGCTGCTTGCAACTCTCTGTGTTATCAGAGAGCAGATAGAATACGGGAGTTTACCCAACAAAGCTTTATAAATAAACGTGTACCAGTGACTGAGCCTCCGTACAGGAAGTGATGGCAGACCTGCCTTGGCATACAGGGTACAGTGATGAGTGAGTGCTTTACAGTTAGTGACGAATCTCAGTGCGCTGTGATAGGCGGCATCTAACCTTTCCAGGCAATGGGCAGGTGCATTCATATAGATCAGATCACCATAGTCCAGCACAGGTCAAAGGTCACAGAGCCTTTTCCTGGCCTCAAGTGAGAAACAGGACTTGTTTCTGAAAAAGAAACCTAGTCTAACCCTCAGCTTTTTAAGCAGATTATTGACATGAAGTTTAAAAGAGAGACAATCATCAAGCCAGATACCAAGGTATTTATAACAGGTAACCACTTGGAGTACTTGTCCTTGCATAGTAACAATATCTAAAACAGGCTCTGGTGTCTTTTTAGCTTTTGAAAAGAGCATTACCTTGGTTTTATCAACATTTAAAAGAAGCTTAAGTTCAGAGAGCTGAGTCTGAATAATGTTAAAAACAGCCTGTAATTTAACAACCGCCTCCTTAATGGAGGGACCTGCACAGTACATCACGGTGTCATCCGCATACAAATGTAAAGTAGCTTCATCCACATTTTCACCTAAACTATTGATGTAGATGGAGAATAAAAGTGGACCTAAAACAGAACCTTGAGGAACACCATTAGCAATGTTCAACCACTCAGAAGACAGCCCATCAAAGTGAACACATTGGGACCTTTCAGAGAGGTAGTTCACAAACCACCCACTGCATGGCTGGATAAGCCAATACTGAGTAGCCTCTGCTTTAAGATGTGATGATCGACGGTATCAAACGCTTTGGACAGATCAATAAATAGAGCTGCACAACTCTGCTTATTATCTAAAATACTCGCCACATCATTCACCACTTTCATTGTGGCAGTGATGGTGCTATGTTGCTTTCTGAAGCCTGACTGATGTTTAGACAGGATGTCATGTTTACATAGAAACTCCTTTACCTGCTCACTCACTAGGCGTTCAAGAACCTTAGCCAGAACTGACCATTTAGAGATTGGCCTATAGTTATTTAATAATAGTTGCTTCCCCACCTTTTAGCAAAGGCAGGACATACGCTGACTTCCATACTTTAGGAATTGTGTTTGTGCTGAGGGAGAGGTTAAAAAGAGTAGTGAGAGGTGGAGCAATAAACTCTGCAGCTATCTTTAAAAAGAAAGGTTCCACGTTGTCCGGGCCGGCCGGTTTCTTAGGATCTAACTTGGTTAAAGCTTCATGAACAACATTTACAGTAAAAGGAGTAAAACTGAAAGTGTTTTCCAGAGCACATTGTTCAGAGTCACAGACTGTGGTGTTCACAGAAGCAGAGTTAGTCACAGAATCAAACAGAGAGCCACAGGACACAACATGCTCATTAAAGCAATGTAACATGGTGGCCCTGTCCGATATAGAGCCAGATGCTGTGGTAAGGCACGGAGGTAGCTCATTACGGATCTCACCGGTAGATATCGATTTTATGGCTTTCCAACATGTTCTAGGATTATTTAGGTTTTCTGTGGTAACTGACAGATAGTACTTCGACTTAGCACTTTTGACCTGTGAAGTGAAGCTATTTCTTAGTTGCCTAAAACGCAGCCATTCTACCTCTGAGCCTGATTTCCTAGCCTTTGCCCAGGCCTTG